ACTAAAAATACAACAAAAAATTTTCTTTGTTGGGCTTTGTGGCACATGCCTGTAATCCCAGCTACTCAGGAAACTGAAGCAGGACAATTGCAGAGGTTGCAGGGAGCCGAGATCTCGCCTTTGCACTCCAACCTGGGCAACAAGAGCAAAACTCCATCTCAAAAAACAAAACAAAGGCCTAGCATGGCGGCTCATGCCTGTAATCTCAGCACTTTGGGAGGTCGAGGCAGGTGGATCATCTGAGGTCAGGAGCTCGAGACCAGTCCAACCAATATGACGAAACCCCATCTCTAATAAAAATACAAAAGCCCCCAACTTAACCCCCTCTGGATCCTTGCTTTCCCATCCCAGCCATGGGAAAAAAACAGACACTGGAGAATAAATAATTTATTGAAATTGGAGGAATAAATAAGGTATGTGGGAAAGGTTACAAATAGCTATAAAAATCATTAACATTTACATACACAAGGGCGCTGGGGCCCGGAGGCGGGGCCTGACGTCTTGGGGGCGGGGCCTGAGGCCGTCGATCGCGGCGGGGCGGGGCGGGGGCGGAGCCTTCTTTCGGTTGCAGCCGTAGGCCGGGAATGCGGATGCCCCCAGAGGTAGATGGGTCTGTTTACAGCGGGGGAAACTGCCCCAGGCCGCCGCAGATCCAGTTCCAGATCTAAGCCCCGAGTACCCCTGTGCCCTAGGAGCCCGCGGCGGACCCGGGGTCTGGTCTCAGTGCCCTGAGGGCCGCACTCCCCTGCGCGCGCCCGCGGAGCTGCACCCCTTGCACGATCCTCTGTACCCAGGAGCGGTGCGCTGAGAGGCTGATGTAGACGCCGGGCCTGTTGCGCTCGGCACAGCCCTCACCCCAGCTGATGATGCCGGCCAGCAGCCAGGCGCCGTCCATCTGGCACATGAGGGGGCCCCCGGAGTCGCCCTGCGGAGAGGATTCGAGGTTAGGAACACCCGTGGTACAGGGGGTGGCAGAACCCAGGGCCAGTGCCCTGTCAGGGGGCAGATGAGCCCCTTCCCGGGAGCCTATTTCTCCTTCCTGGAGGGGGCAGGACCCAAGCTCCACCCACGTGAGAAATCCCTGGCGGCAGAGTAGGAGCTGCAGCCAGGCGTCAGGACCTCCCGGCCCAGGTGCTGCCCCTGCACTGTCTGACCATCTTCCAGACAGTCCCTGAGCTGGAGCTGGCTCTGGCCACTGAGGCGTGGGAAGCCCACTGAAGGAAATGCAAGCTCCTGGAGGGGGAGGCGGTGCAGCTGGGATGCCCAGTTTAATATCTGAACAAATAAGTGAGTGGCTGAGTCAGGCTGAGGCTGGGTCTATGGGGACTGGAGACTGTCAGGCACAGCCAGTTCTGGGGAGGAGGCTAGGGAGAGGTAGGTGGTGGGGCTCAGTGGGGACACGGCTGACGCTGGCTCCTTCTCGAGGCCCTCCTGGCTGGGGGGTGCTTACCAGACAAGCATCCCGCTCCCCCTCCAAGTAGCCAGCACACAACATGTCCTTAGTGATGGCTCCCTGCCCTGCTCCCCGCCAGTACAGGCGGCTGCAGACTTCCGAATCAATGATGGGAACCTTCAGCTTCTGCAGGGTCTGAGGGTGGGGCAAGGGCACTGGGAGGAAAGAAAACAGAGTCAGGCTTGGGGGCCTCCCCTACTTGTTGCTTCCTCAAAGGACTATTCCCCACCCCATCCCCGATTTCCCTCAGCAGTGGTTCTCAAAGGCTAACAGATTAGCTCTCTAGCTCTCCCAAGATGCTTTCAGAAAATCAAAATTCCAGATCTCCACCTCTGGCCCTGCTGAATCATTACACGAGTATGAAACCTAGGTCTCTGCCTCTTTAATAAATTTTCTGATATCCACAGATGGTTAGAGCCTTTCCTGTCTCAGACACTGCATTACTTCATTCAGCACCAGGTCTGTTATAGAAAAAGTGTTCGATAAATGTCCAGTCGATGTCAAAACTTACCAGGACCTGGGGGATCCCCACACCTTTGCTACAGCCTGTGGTCTGCAGATTGTGGACTGAAAGTCTGCAATTCTAGCTCTTGAAGAAGCCCCTACAGAGATTGTGGGGAGGCTGCAACCTTAGAGTCAGTGGGATCCCCACACACCTGAACTAGTGTCATTTCTCTTAATTATTCTGGAATCTGGTTAAATTGTCATCTTCTTACACTGTGTTCTTAGTCTCTGTCTCTCTCTCTCAAACTCTCTCTCTCTCAGGTCTTCATTGTATCTATCCTCATTTCTGCCGGTATGTTTCTTTTCCTTGGCCCAGTCTCTATCATCCATCTGCCTGTCAATCTGACATCTACCTTTCTCTTGCTGCTTCCCTGCTTCTTGCTTTATTTAATCTAGTTTGAGTTTCAAGATGATGTCTTCCAGGCCTCTAGAGGTGGTTTGAAAATTATATTTTACAATTAAGGAGGCTGCATTTTCGCCTGAGAATTTTGCCCGCAATTGTGGCATGCTGCCACCAGGGGGTGCCTGTTCCCATTCTAGAATCAGGCCTCTTTTTACAGTCACCGTGTATTCAGCCTAGTCCCATGACACACCTCCTTTCAGCCATTCCTGTATCAATGAATAGCTTCACAGAGCTGGCTGTTCCCTCAAAACATAGCCAGACACTTTTGAAGTAGAAATGAGGCCGGGCACAGTGGCTCACACCTATAATCCCAGCACTTTGGGAGGCTGAGGCTGGTGGATTGCTTGAGCCCAGGAGTTTGAGCCCAGGCTGGCCAACATGGCAAAATCCTGTCTCTACAAAAAATATAAAAATTAGCCAGATGTGGTGGTACACACCTGTAAGCCAAGCTACCTGGGAGACTGAGGTGGGAATATTGTTGAGCCTGGGAGGCGGAGGCTGCAGTGAGTTATGATCATACCACTGCACTCCAGCCTGGGTGATGGAGTGAGACCCTGCCTCAGAAAAAAAAGAAAAAAGAAATGGCCTGAAATCGTCCACCGAGGTTTCTTCTGGATCACAGCCCATCTTTTCTTCCGTCTCTGTCATGCTGTGCCTCTGGCCTCCACCCTTTTTTACTGCTTATGGTGTCTGTGTCCCTGAGTGTCTGCATCCCTGAGTGTCTGCCATCCTCTGATCCTCTGTCCCCATCCACCCCCAACCACCTTGGAGAGAAAGAAGCCTCACCTCCATCTTGGATGCTCCCCCAACCCGAGATCCAGCAGTGGGTGTTTGGAGGGAGGTGGACAGAGGCATCGGGCAGGCAGATGGGCAGGACCCGTTCCGAGAACTGTATGGAGTGCTCGAGACGCACCAGGGCGATGTCCGCACGGGCACCCTCCTTCCAGGAGTACACAGGGTGGGGCTGCACCCAGGCAACACCCACCTTCTGAGACCGAGAGCCAGGGTTCCCCAGCTGCCAGGCCCCCAGTAGCACAGAGAACAGGGACGGCTTGTTCAGGTTGCTGGAAGGAAAGGCAAGGGGAGGATCAGCCAGGAGGGTCTGGGAGGAGGTGCCTGGGGGAACAGCAGGAGGATGAAGGCCCCTGAAGGCAGGAGAGCCTTCTGGGTAGAATCAAGGTCTCTACTGAGGGGCACCAAGATTGAACAGAGGCCCAGAAGCAGAGCCCGTGAAGGGAGCCCAGGGCCTGGAGGATCAGGTGCCCCAGGGGAGCTGCACATACTCTTTGAAACAGTGGGCAGCGGTGATCACCCAGCGGCTGGTGAGCAGGGAGCCGGCGCAGTGGTGGGTTCCATTCTTCTGGATGCTCACGACCCATGGCCACTCGCTGTCATCGCTGTCCTGGCCGCCCACAACCCGGTTCAGCTGCTGGGGCTTCCCACAGGCTGGGGGAACTGGAGGGGAGGGTCAAGTTTTGTCATCTCCAACTTCCTACAACCCACCCTCAGAATCCCAATCCCTAGGCCTGCACCCCAAGCTCTGCCCACAGCCGAAGCTCCATTCAGGCCCCCAAACTCCACCCACACCCTAAGCTCCACCTGCACTCCAAACCCCACCCCCACCCCAAGCTCCGCCCGCTTCCCGATGCCTTCCCTCCCTCCAGCTTGGCTCTCCGCTGGTCCTCCCTTGGCCCTGGCCCTGGCCTTCCCACGTCCTCCCTGTCAGCTGCACCTGGTCTCTCCCTCCCCGTCTTTCCTTACCCGGCCCACTCTGCTCCGTTCACCTTCCTGGGTCTCTCTCTCCTCCAGCCCTAGCACCTCTCAAGCCTTCCTTCTATCGGTGTCTTCTTCCTGCCTCCCTTCCCCTCGGGCTCCTTCCCCCCTCACCCCAGCCCCTTCTGACCGGTTCTCAGGCGAGGGACACACACACCCTGCCTGCAGTTGGGCCTCCTCCCCCTCCCTCCCGTCAGGGCTGCCCCTTCCACTCACCAGGTATCCTGGCCGCATTGAGGGTGGCTGAGGGCAAGAGAAGGAATTGGTCAGGCCAGTGAGGGGCGCCCAATGCTCAGTGAGGAAGGGTCCCCAACACCCAGTAAGAAGGAATCCCAGTGCCCAGTGAGGAGGAGGTCCCAACACACAGTGAAGAGGGTCCCAGCGCCCAGGAGGAGGGTCCCAGTGCCCAGTGAGAAGGGTCCCAGCGCCCAGTGAGTAGTGATCCCAGCGCCCAGTGAAGGCGGGTCCCCCAGCACCCAGTAAGGAGAGTCCCCCAGCGCCCAGTGAGGCGGGGTCCCCCTGAGTACCTGGTGGTAAGGAACCCGCATCCCTCCAGTGCCCAGGGAGCTCCTCAGTTCTCTCACCCCCAGGGCCCCTCCCAGCGGGGCATTTCCTGGGGCCCAGCTGTGGCCCTGCCCTCCCGCAGCTTCCCGTCCAGCCTGTCCGCCGGCGACCAGGACCAGATCCTCCGAGGGAGGCACAGACCTGAGCCCCTGCGGCCTGGACGCTGCTGCCGCTGGTGCCCTCCCCGTAACCTCCTGCCCCAGGAACAAAACAAAACGGTGCTGCCCCCGAGGCAAGGGAGGGGGAGAAGATGGGAGAACCCGGAGGCGGGAGGGAGGAGGTGAAGGCAACCAGGACGGCAGGAACTGGGGGCCGAGGTGTGCCGTGGGCTTGCTGCGTTTTCTGTTTAATCCTCACAGCCGTAGAAGAAACCGAGGCACCGAGCAGTTAAGGAGCCAGAGACGAACGGAGAGCAGAAGCAGAGAGATGAGAGAGGCCAGGCGGGGAGGGAGCGGGGAGGAGCGAGAAGGGTGGAGGGAGGAGGGAGGCGCAGCCTCCGACGTACCTGTCGATGCCAGCAGCAGCAGGGAGGTGAAGATGCCGAGACGGCCCCCACCCAGGGCTGGGGGCGCTCCAGAAACCACCATGGCTGGTGGGACGGGGGCGCAGGCAGCAGGCTCGAGGGACCCAGGGTGATGCGGGTCAGGGTGTGTAGGTTCTCTGCAGGTCGCCCCAGGTTTTATCCCAGGAGGTGGAATGCCGTCAGACCAGTCCCCAGGTGGCTCCCTCGGCCACCCTGGCTGTGGGTCATGGGCAGGGGGCGGGGCTTCGGGGAGGAAGCCAGCCGCTACAGGGCCTGGGGGGGCTCTAGCTGAGACCCCAGGCTCCAGCTGTGGGTGCAACGTGTGGCCTCTGGAGGGCAGGGGAGGGAGCCTGGACCCAGTAGTCCGAACATTGACTGTCCGGGGCAGAGAAAGGTCCCAGGGCACTGAAAGGAAGGGGTTCTGGGCTGGGGATGGCTTGGGTCTGTAGTGGCTGAAGTCTGGGGAACTGGGTGTTGGGGGCTCCTAGGGCCTTAGGGATCAAGGGGGTGCCAGAGGCTGAGTAAACGGCTCCCACCAGCAGGGGGCCGGGCCCCTGTGACTCAGCCCAGAGACCTGGCCCAACCCAGGGCTCGGAAATCCCGTTAACCCACTTCCCAAAAGCTGTGAATCAGGTGAGTGGCGACCTAGGTGGCCTCCCGGTGGCTGCCCTCCCGTCATTCCTGCGGGTGGGGCTTGGCCCCGCCATTCAGACACCTGACGACTCACCTCTCACCTGAACTCCCAGGAAGCAGAGGAGCCCATGGTCACCAGGGCTGGGTCAACCGGGGGCCTGGGAGAGAAGGGGCCCTGGGAAGGGCTGGGACTCCCTGGAGCCAAAGAGCAGCTGGGCTGAGTTGGGCTGTGCCGGTTCGGGTCCTGGGCTGGGAGTGGATTCTTGGTGTTTTCACTGAGCAGCAGCAATGGCAACCTGGGGCTGGATCCTGTGAGACCTTCCCTGACTCAGTGCCTCACAGTGCCACGCAGTGCCCCACACTTGGGACGCTCCCACACAGCAGAGCAGGCTTCCTCCTCCACACAGAGGCAGGAGCCTGCACCCCTTCACTCATTTCATCAACAAGCCTCCAGCAGGGCCCTTGCTACTGCGGGGGGTGGATGAAAAGCAACCATAGCAGTGAAAGTGTATGTAATAAATATATTTATACGGATACAAATATAGGATTTATATAATAGAGCAAACATTTAGGAGCGCCATGAATCGCCTCACCTAATCCTCAAATTTCTTTATTATTCCCACTTTGCAGATAAGGAAACTGAGGCAGCCTAGGGTGGTTAAGTGACTCACCTGAGATGCCCCATTGCTGGGTGAGTGGTGGAGCCGGACCTGCACCCCGACTCTGGGGATGGCTGCTGGGACTGCACCCCGGGGGGGGGCTTCGGGAGCCTGGAGGAGGACGTGCCTCACCCTGCCCAGGTTGTGCCCGACCTTGCTCCCAGCCGAGTCACGGTGGCAGGGTTCGGGGCCTGGCAGACCACCACAGCTGTTTCAGGGGCTCCACGCTCTGAGCAGGATGCGATTTGCCCTGAGGGAGGACTCTTTGCTGCCCACCTCGTCAGTCTGTTAAGGGTAAGGGTGGAAGCGGGACAATTATTGCGTTCTGGTGGCAGAGAGGCCATGCCCTGCCCCACCCACAGACAAGTCAAAAAGCAGGGCCTTTGGGAGCCCCAGAGAATGTGTTATTCTCTGTCCCACAACTCAGAGGGGGTTTGGGGGAACTGCAGGAAAAGACAACGCCGAGTGGTGGAGGCGAGGGGCCGTGTCTCTGAGCAGCAGTGGCCCCAGAGCAGAAATGTGAGCTGGGCACCCCCACCCTACTCACTGTCCCCAGCTCAGCTCTGCACCCAGAGTGGCCAGGGCCCTCCTGCTCCCCACCCCACTGCCTTCTGAAGTAAGGTGGGTGGCCTCCCCAGTTCATTCTGCAAATATGTATTGAGTACCTGCTGTATGCCAGGCCTGCTGGGCACCAGGACATACGTGATGAATAAGACACAGGTCCCCCCCCCAAAAAAAGACACAGGTCCTGTGCTCCGGAAGCACATGTCTTCCTGGGTGTGGGAGGCAGGTGACAGATGACAGTGAGGTGTCCAGGAGGTGGGTGGTAGCTTGGACCCTGGAGGGCCACTGTGAAGCTGGGTGCTGGGGGAACAGTGTGGGTGGTGGGGGGCTCCCTGTGGACTCCCAGGATCATGGTCAGTGCCTGCTGCACCCTGGGGCTCAGCGGGTGTTTGTTGAATGAATAAATGAATGTGGAAGCAGCGAGTCTGCAAGTGGCTGGGGATCAAACGCTCCGGCCTCCCTCTCTGCCTCCCACTCAGGTTTCCTCTCCATTCCAGCTTTTCTACCTTTCTGAACACCTGACTCACTGCCCTGGAGACCCAAGAGTAGCCATGGGCCCTGCCCAAGATGCCACTGTCCCTGAGATGGGGTGGCCAGGAAGACCGCCCTGAGGAGAAGGGCCCAGGAGGAGCAGGGGGAAGCCCTGAGGACTTGGGTGAAGATTTCCTGGCACAAGTCCTGGGGAAAGGCCCCAGAGACCAGTTCCCCATAACCAGGTGTAGAGGGTGGATTCTCTGAAACGCCACAGGGCAGAGACCCTGGCATGATTCAACGTTCACTAAACAAAATATTTATTGAGTGCCTGCCAATGCTAGACACACACGCTGGCTGGCATCCCTGCCTATGCAAGAGTCAGATGAGCTGCATGCCCCTGCCACCCACTCCCCACTCCCTGCCAGCCTGGCCTCAGGGCCTCTGATCCATGTGCACTGGGGCGGTGATGACTGACAGGGCCACTGGGGCATTTCTGGGCTAACAGCAGCTGCCACTGGTGAAAGAAGTGACTCACCGATGATGGTGGCATCTCAGATGTGGGCCCAGGAGTCTGGGGAGCTACTCTTTTTTTTTTTTTTTTTTAAACAGTCTTGCTCTTCTCGCCTTGTTGCCCAGGCTGGAGTGCAATGGCACAATCGTGGCTCACTGCAACCTTCGCCTCCCGAGTTCAAGCAATTCTCCTGCCTCGACCTCCCAAGTAGCTGGGATTACAGGCACCCACCACCACACTTGGCTGATGTTTGTATTTTTAGTAAAGACAGGGTTTCACCTTGTAGGCTGGTCTCAAACTCCTGACCTCATGATCCGCCCACCTCAGCCTCCCAAAGTGCTGGGATTACAGCCATGAGCTACCACGCCTGGCCCTGGGGAGCTGCTTTGAACAGAGCTATCCATTCATTGTCCCACCAAAGGCCACGGAGCCCACCCACCACGTGCTGGAGTTATCAAGGAAAATAAGACAGTCTCCTTGCCCTCCTTAACTCAATCAACAAGCATTTGCTGAGCACCTCCTGTGTGCCGGTACTGTCCTAAGTGCTGCAGATACAGCAATGAGCAGACCAAAAGCCACATGGACATCGGATGCAACAGAGAATTTTTAAAAGTAACTAAATCATTTCGCTCTATGGAAAACAGCACGGAGACTTCTCAAAGAACTGAAACTGCAGCAACCATTTGACCAGCAACCCCACTACTGGGCACACAAGGGAAAAGAAATCATTATACCAAAGAGACACCCGCACTCGTGTGTTCATCGCAGCAACTGTTCACAACAGCAAAGCCGTGAAATCCACCTGAGTGTCCATCAACAGATGACGGATAAAGAAAATGTGGTGAATATACACACAATGGAACACTATGAAGCCATGAAAAAGAACACAAAATCAGGTCTTTGCAGCAATATGGGTGGAACTGGAGGCCGTTATCTTAATTGGAACAAGTCAAACACGGAAAGACAAATATTGCATGTTCTCATTTCTCAGTGGGACCAAAGCAATGAGCACCCATGGCCACAGGGTGCAAGAACAGACATTGGAGGCTCGGAAGGGTGGGGGGGGGCAAGGGAGGAGAAATTACCTCTGGGATCCACTGTTCATGATTTGGGTAATAGACACTAACAGCCCAGACTTTACACTACACAATTTATCCAAGCAACAAAAATGTGCTTGCACCCTCTAAATTTTTTTTTCTGAGATGGAGTCTCGCTCTGTCACCTAGGCTGGAGTGCAGTGGCGTAATCTCGGTTCACTGCAACCTCGATCTCCTGGGCTCAAGCAATTCTTGGGCTTTAGCCTCCCGAGTAGCTGGGACCTCAGGTGCACCACAGCACCTGGCTCATGTTTGCATTTTTAGTAGAGACAGGGTCTTGGCATGTTGGCTAGGCTGATCTGGAGCTCTTGACCTCAGGTGATCCACCTGCCTTGGCCTCCCAAAGTGCTGGTGTGAGCCACTGCGCCTGGTCTAATATCCTCCAAATATATAAAAATAAAAATTTAAAAAGCATTTAGGTTTGGCACAGTGGCTCATGCCTGTAATCCCAACACTTTGGGAGGCTAAGGCAGGACGATCACCTGAGCCCAGGAGTTCAGCACCAGCCTGGACAACATAGTGAAATCCCCTCTCTATAATTTTTTTTTTAATGTTTTAATCACTTAGTCTAATAGCTGATGCAGTCAGTGGGGGAAACCAAAGCAGATAAGAGGTGTGGGGAGGGGGTGGGGGCTGGGGTGGGTGAGGATGGAGGGACACAGTCTTAAGTAAGCGGCCCCGGCAGTTCTTCCCCATGAGGGTAACACTTGAGCAGAGACTTGAGACAGGAGAGAGCTGGGTGGAGCACTCGGGGGACCGTTCCAGCCCCAGGACAGTAAAAGCCAAGGCCAGGATGTGTGGGCCCAGGTGGGAGGCCCCGGTGTGCAGGGAGAGAGTGGCAGAGGAGGTGAAGCATGCAAGGCCTTTGGCTTCATCAGGGAACTGGAGCCCCTCCAGCTCTGGCTGCATTTTAGCAGGATCCCAGCAGCGGCCACATTAACCAGGCTGATTATGTCACTGCACTGCTGCAGCCTGGGCAACAGAGTGTGACCCTGGTGGTGAGGAGGCCGGGGTGAAGCAGGGCTACCCCTCACACCTAGGAGACAGAAGATGACGTGGGGAGAGGGATGGATTCTAGATCTTTCTGTGAGGCCACGCAGACAGGACTAAGGGCCAAGGGCTGATGCAGTGGGGGCAGCGGCTGCCTGGGGCGAGGGTTGGGGGCAGGATCAGGAGTGACTCTGGATCTGTTTAGCTGGAGACGAGGCCCAGGGCAGGTGAGCTCAGGGCAGAGGTCCAGCTGGAGGGAAACGTGGCATCTGGAGCTTGGGGGGATTTAAAGTCTGAAGGCTGTTGAGGTGACCAACGAGCAGGTGATATTTGCCATCGGAGACCATGCAGGCGTGGACAGCCAGAGTCCCACACACCTCACTCACTCACCTGCAAACATGACAGGACTGGAACTGCCACAAAGCAGAGACGCAGGCAGCCAGGGGACCTGTAGACAGTGTCCCAGGCCAAGGGAGCCCCTGCAGGAACTGGCCATGTGACTCTGGCACAGGGGCTGGGTGCTTGGGCTGAGGTCCTCCTGGGCCCCGTAGAGAAGCCTTTGCTTAAGGGCAGGGGAAGGTACTGTCCACTTGCAGCAGAGTCAAGCTAGGATCCGACTGTTAGAGGCATGGAGGGGACTCAGGAGGCTGGTGGGGAGGAGGGTGAGGGCTGGCTGTGGGCAGGGTTTTTCTGGGGTGCTAATGGTTTTGAGAAATCTGGCCTGTTTGGCTCCTGGGATGCTGCAGGACCTAATGAGGTGACACTGCTCATCAGCTAGCATTTCGCCACCTTCCCACAGGGACGTCCCTCCATCTGATCAGGCTTCTGAGCTGCCCTGGAAACTTGTTTCCTTCCTAACCTGCAGCACTTGGGGTTTCCCTGCCTCTCAGAGACTCGGGTCAAACTGGGTTCCAGCCCAGTCCTAGGCCCCAGAGTCCTCCCTACCGTTCCCATGCCCCTTGACCTCACATCTTTCTCTGCCTCCACCATGGGCTCCTTGAGGCCTCAGCTCTGTCCATCTCAGTCCCAGCCCCCAGGCTCTGCCCCTCCTCCCTTTCCACCAGAAACCCAGCCTGGATTTCCCAAAGCTCAGCAGCTTCCTGAAGCCTCAGGGAGATCCAGAGGATGGCCTGAAATTGCCCGTCATGTGTCCAGCCCATCTAAAGCGAGACTCAAGCAGCCCAGCATCCTGTCTCCTCTACCTGGGACCAGCCAGAACTGACTCTTTCTGCATCTCAAAGCCCCAACGCTGAGAGCTCAGTCGGGAAGAATTGCGCCTCCTCCACTGCCCGGAAGCAGGGAGGGAGGGAAGGATGGGACAGAGCCTGGGCAGCTGGGATACAGCCCATGGGAAGAGCCGAAGTGGGGAACTGGGCAAGCGGGGCCAGCTGACTCCCTGGGTGCCCGTCTCAGGGCTGGGCAGCTCCTACGCTGTGCATGACTCATCAGTGACGCAGAGGAAGGGCAGGACCTCAGAGTCCTGAGATCAGAGGTCATGGTGGGGCTGTCTGTCGGCTTCAGAGAGTCTGCAGATCACAGGAGAGGAGGTGGCTGACCATACATGGATTAGCCACATCTGAGGGTGCTTCGAGATGAGGAACTCAAGCTCAGTTCCAGAGTGAGCTGTGTGGAGCTGGGATCTGCAGGTCTCTGCCTTCAGGGCCACCTGCCTGGCTGTGACGTAGTCCCCAATGTGACCTGGGCAGCCACATCATGCCTGCCGGGAGAGGAGGCAGAGAAACCAGCTCTGGCCACCCCCGCAGGGTGCGGAGCCACCTCCAACCCCGGTCCTCCTCCTGCCTCATCCTTCCAGGGAAATGAGTGACTGCTAATCACTGCTAATGAGTGGCTTCAATGATACATCAGAGTGTGCAGTTTCTCCACCAGGAGGTCAGACAGCTCTGGGGCAGAGAGGCACGTGTGTGGGGAAAGTCAGTCAGCAGCTGAGATGGGCTCACCCTTCTGTGCTGGTGGAGCCCCCACTTCCACTCCCACAGTTGTCCTTTCAAGCCATGATCTGGGCGCTGGGGACTTGGACATCCAACAGGCATCTCACAGTAGGGAATGTAGAGAGTCACTCCAATCCAGCCCTCCCTCGGGCTCCCCTGCTCAGAAAGTGGCATTCCCGTTCACCCAGCTCTCCAGCTGCTAGCCCGGATGGCGTCCTGTTTGTCCTTTTCTTCCCCATCCGCATCCGTCCGTCAGCAAGTCAGGCCTGGAAGGAGTTGGTGGACCCAGGCACCTCCCTCCATGGGCACAGGACCCCTCCAGACAGTGCAACAGGTGGGCAGGTCCCCTGGGGCCTTCAAGTCTCTTCTCTCAGTAATCAGAGTGCTTGGCACAACATGAATTAGATCACGGCACTTCATAGTTTCACTCTCTCTAGCAGGGCCCACTGCACTCAGGAGATCCTCTAACTCCTGCGCCCCTCCCTCGGGGCTTGGCGTCATCAGGCCATGCTGACCGCTCTGCCTCCCGATGATCACTCTGCCCAGCTCACTCTCATCCAGCCACACTGGTCCTCTCTTTGTACTAAGCCCTTTTCTAGCTAACGGCCTTAGCACGCTGCCCCACCCATCCCAGTTCAGAGCTGACAGGTCTCTTCAGGTCTTAGTTTAAGTGACACTCTCCCTGTTATACTTCTTTTTTTTTTTTTTTTTTTTTTTTTTTTTTTTTTTTTTT